GATCCAAGAGTGTAATAGTTCCAGCTGTCTTATGTAAGAATACGTGCTATATTCCAAGTACAGTGCTTTCTAGATAAGAACTGGCTGAATTTAGGAGATGTTAAAAATTAAGCAGTACTCGGTGCACCTGAGTGTCTCAATTGGTTAAGTGTCTGACTTCAGCTCAGGTCATGATCTAGGAGTCCTGGGATCCAGCCCAACATTGGGCGCCCTGCTCAGTGGGGGCCTGCTTCTCCCTCTCCCACTGCCTTCCACCTCCCCCCATGCTCTCTTTCAAATACATTAAATCTTTAAAAATTATTTAAGCAGTACCCTTATTATTCAGCTTAGAAAAGGAGACTAGAACAAGCATTTTTTTTTTTACTTTCCACTATGCAAACTCAGTGCTGGAATTCAGTAAAGTCTAACCAACATGGAAGCATCACAAGACATAATATTTGCAATATCTTATTATGAGTACTTCTAACTTAGGGGTAGTGGGATGGGAGGGAGAGAGACTAAATGCCTGCCATCCTCCCTGCCCCACTTTGACAATGGTTCATTCCATGGAGGTAGCAAACGTCTCACTCCACTCTGCTGCCAACAAGACTGTCTCCAGTCCTTGTGGTGTGATCCTTTGCATGACTCCTGCATTCCCAGGCTCCTCTCTTTGACACCCGAGAGTGCCTGGCCCAACCTGGCACTGGTCTGAGCTTAATCACACATACCACTCACATCAGGTTGCACTGCTTGGAACATCCACTCCTGTGTTACCACCTGAAAGCATGTCCTATAGAGAGACATGCTACCACCTGAAAGCATGTCCTAAGGGATAATGCTTCCAGTCCGGCAAAAGTGTTCATTTTCACAACTGGAGCCAATTTTCACAAAGGAAGGGCATTCTCTTGGCAAAATGTCTCATGGTTTTCCATTTTGATAAGATTCCCCTTGAATAAAAATAACCTGATATACAGAAAGTTGCAGCAGAAGGGCAGCTTGAATCCAAAGCTGCTCACCAATGCAGAAGCAGTGTTTTGAGAAAACAGTCTTCAAAGATGAACTCTGAAGATGCGGACTATCATCTTCCAGAAACAGAACTAAGTCTTTTCTACCACTCTTCTCTACAGTGTTTCACAGAGAATTAAGTACTGAATGCATATTGCATGAAATTAAGAAGATCCCTGAGCCTACTGAACTCTAAGCACAATTAGCTTGCTGTTCTTCCTTTTAAAATGCTCTTTGAAAAAGTCCCTGCATCAGGGCACCTGGATGGCTCAATTGTTGAGTGTCCAACTCTTGGTTTTGGCTCAGGTCATGATCTCAAGGTCATGAGATAGCACCCCAAATCAGGCTCCATGCTCATTGGGAAGTTTGCTTGGGATTCTCTCCCTCTCCCTCTGCCCCTCCCCCCTCCAGCATGCATGCTTGCTCTCTCTAAAATATATAAATAAATCTTTTTTTTTAAAAGTAAAAGTAAATCCCTACATCAATGCAAGGATTGCAATTATACAACAACCTTTCAGCTAGAGGAGAAGCGTGTAACTACATGTTGTAGTCATTTAGGGGTAATCTATATAGATGCAATGTCCTATGTAAGAATATAAACTACGCAGAAAGACACTTACTCTAAAAAACCTTGAAATAAAATCAGAATCTCATTCCTTTGGTGACAATTAATAATCTTAAGACCTGGTCAATTAACACCTTAACACCTTTGTTATCTTGGAGGAATTTCTGTTTTAGAGAAACTGAAGAACTTCTCTCTTGCTTCCTCACAGTAAAGCTACAAATAAAGACATTGGGCTGAAACCAATGGTATTCAGTTTCCATTCTAAAGACAAGTGAGACTGGGTAGGTTACCATATACAAAGAAGTTAAAAGAATACACAGTGTCTTCTAGGTAGTCACAATGGCATTCAAGTATCCTTGTAAGTAGTGGAGCTCAAGAGAAGAGATTCTCCATTATCATTATTTTTACAGCCCCTCAATTAACCACAGGCTTCCCTAAGCAAATGCAGTGTTTTCTTAGAGATGTCAAAATTTATTTTGTGCCATTGAATATTTACAATTTAAAACATGCATACTGGGGATCCCTGGGTGGCGCAGCGGTTTATCGCCTGCCTTTGGCCCAGGGCGTGATCCTGGAGACCCAGGATCGAGTCCCACGTCGGGCTCCCGGTGCATGGAGCCTGCTTCTCCCTCTGCCTGTGTCTCTGCCTCTCTCTCTCTCTCTGTGACTATCATAAATAAATAAAAATTAAAAAAAAACAAAACTTTAAAACATGCATACTTGTATATCATGCACCTCTGTATCTGTCTCCCCCTTTACCACCAAGACTCTAAGCTCTTGAAAGACAGGAACCATCTCTGACTTACTCTATATAAATTACAGAGTGGCTCAAATGCCACGTCCTCAACAAAGCCTTCTGTGATGACATGTCCTCAGCAGAAGATGATCTCCCTGCAGCATCCTGCTGTGTCAAGCACTAGCACTACCCTTTTGCCTCAAGATTTTAGCACATTCTCAGTGCTTTATATATTTCAAGCCCTTGAGGAATTAAAAGAAACTCTTTCTCACCAAACAACTGGGATTTATGTCCTACATAATCAGGACTAAAAGCTAGCCAAAAGTGACACATATTAATCAAGCTAAATTACAGTATAGCCATTTTTCTTCTAGTACAATTATCTTTGGCTTTAAGACACAAATGAATCATTAGGGTTCTGAATCTCTTCTGGCAAAGAAATACAGTAGAAGCTGAATGCTCAACATTGTGAGTGTCATCAGAACAGTTCCATAGATATGAATTTGCCTAGTTAATCCCCCTTCATTATCTCCATTAGCTAACAATGCACATGTAGTCACTGCACATAATTACTGCTCTAACAGACAGGAACGTTTGAAATATTAACTTTCCCACAGACTCCAAACTTCAGTAAGCAGCTCTCAACAATTCATTATATTAATCATATATGTCACCACATTCCTATTAAATATGCATGAGATTAAACACCACTCATTTTACAAACTGCCTAACATCATTTTTAATATAATTTATTACCTTTTAGATACTGCAATTATAACGGCACCTAGGTGCTGCTATAATAAATGCAAATTTAACTACCTGGCATATAAATAACCAATGTTATAACTCATTCCACTTTTATTCAATTTTTAACATGCATTCAAGTGAGAATATTTTGTAATACACAACATAAAATGTTTATAAAGTTAATATGTATTATGACATGGGGATGTCTAATTTAAAGTCACATAAAAAAGGGATAAATTGATTTTCTTAGACTTAGGTATTCTAGACAAATAAATCATTCAAAATGCAAACCTACCAAGAAATTAGCATAAAATACATTGATAACCTATGAGAAAAAGTACAATGGGAAGTACGATTATGTACATTATGATGTCATATTTCTAATCAAACACTTTACAGACTTTATAAATCCTATGTTTATGTAAATTATTGCAACAAAAACTAGAGTTGATTATTGCAACAAAGACTAGCAGAAAAAGACAAAATTCCAAATGAAGGGGAAAAATACATCATTAACTTGGATCATGTCACTCTAAACTTTGCAGTTAATATGGCCGCAGATTATTAAGCTAAACATATAATGGAAATAATAGTAACAGCCACAGTTCACACTTACTGAGCGCTAACTTAACTTACTGTGTCAGGCACTATAATTAGGGCTTTACACTCATATCTCATCTCATTTTCACAAAAACCCAGAGAAGGAGATATTAATATTATTTGCATTTTACGGATGTGGGAAGTGGAAACTTGCATGGCATAAATGTCTCGCCCAAGCACACATGGCTTGGCAGGACAGGGTCTGACTCCAAGTCTATCCTCCTAAACCCAGTCAACACCCAGCTCCCAGCTCTGGATTCACCACTTCTTTGTGTGCCTTAGGTAAGTCACCTAAAGTCTGGAGAGCTCATTCCTTTAGCTGCAAAATTAAAATAATCTATGCCAGAATTACTAAGAATGAAAAAGATGGTTTATGAGAAAGTACCATGTAGGTTGTGGAACAACATAATGCTGCTTGTTATGTTATCAATGAAGTAAGAAAATAAAAGGTTGAAAATGAAGAAAAAAATGGCAAGCTGACACCGAGTCAAAATTTTCCAAAAAAAAAATGGTATACCTAGGTAAATGTTTCTGGTTGTTTTAACTTGCTTAATGTAGAAAATACTCCACAAAGGCAAATATGAATCAATATTATATCCTAAGAGACAGCACTAGTAGATTGAGTTAGACATAAATAATAACACTAGAATTGTAGATGTTCACCATGATATTGTGTTCATATTACTAGATTTAGCCTTTCCAAAAGCTCCTCAAAACTAAGGCTTTTTAAAGTTACCTGGAATCATTACCAGGCCCTAATTTACTGCAATCCACATACACATTTTGATTAGCGGTAATATTTAAATCCTCAGGCCCAGGAAGGAAAAGTAATACTCAAAAGTCTCATTCATCATTTAAGATAGTGATATGTCATCACTGGGCTTCTTTTTCCATAGGGCTTTGTGACTTAAAAAGTTAGTTCATGTGCCTTATATCAACAAAGATCCTAAAAGAAAGATCTAAAGATTTAAGATCCAGACACTGGAATTCACCCAGGTTAATAATTATAAGAAATCTATATATCTATACTTCAGTGTGTGTGTGTGCCTCTGAGCATGCAGAAGTCCATCAACATGTGATTGTTATGTATTTAGTGGCTTTCTACTTTTCTTAATGCTTATATTGTCAATTATTTAAAGAAAATGTATAAGGCCAAAATAATAACAGTAATAGGGACAAAGGGGCTGTATATTCCCAGAAATTCTTTTATTCATTTTCAAGGTGCTCATGTCATTAGATGAAGAAGGGAAGCCTTAATTTGCATAAACTCACGAATATACCAAGTCACATTTTTAAACATCCTTACTTGATGACTTTAACAATAAAGAAAATTGTAAGAGTATATGGAATCTCTAAGGTCCTACCTACCTCCTGGCCGTTCGTGTTCTCCATCAGTGTGTAAAAGCATGGCAATGGGCATCCCTACATTCTTGGATCTTCCAGCTACAACCACATTTTTCCCAAATGTTTCAATTCCTTAAAACACAGAGTTTGATTTAAATGAAGAATCAAAAACAAGAAGCAAATTAAACATTTGAACAGCCAACTAAAACATTCTTTAAAAACTTCTAATTAAATTTGAATTACTGTGTAGCTAGTCTATAATGTACCCACATTCATTATTTATAAATATTCTTTTTATGTTTCTTGGATTTGTCACTTCCTCCTTAATTGTCCTTGTTAAAAAACTACATTTTTCAAGTTGTCATTAAATTACTTTTAAATATGGAGATTCACATGAAGAGTTAGACATGCAAAAAACTTAAAATATAAGTAATAATTACTACTAATTATAAAGTAAGCAAAGTACAACAATGTCAAGCTTAATTGGTAATCAAACTTTCAGCAAATTTGGAACAAAATGAATTGGGAAAAAGGGTATTTTTTATAAAACTCATGCACTTTACCCCATAGGAGAAAGGCACTGAACTTTAGGGATTCAGAAAGTTACGAAAGATAAAACTTGCAGATATAGCACACTCTACCTCCTTTGGGCATAGTTGCTTCATAAGTAAAATGAAGAAGTTAGAATTAAGGCTTTTACAAGTAGTAATGTCCTAAGAGGATGGTTCTAGGATCTACTTTCTCTTGAAATTTTCTCCTTTAGAAAACAGCACATTTGAAAGGAGAAGATGCTGTCAGAAGTGGAAGAGACAGTGAGAGAGAGAGAGGCAGGACAATCACAAACCTAAAGGCAATATGGAACTGATTAATGTAGAGGTATATATCTCTATATATACCTCCAAGGTCCAAGAGAATATTTGTATTGTATTCAGAGCACAATTCAAATGTAAATGTCTACAGTAAACACTGAAGTCATTAGAGATGGCTCAAATATGTTCACCACATTTTGTTTCTAAAGGTAAGGAAAATCACAATTCATTTTGGAAAATGCACAGTAAGTTTATAATTTAAAAGCAGGGACACAATCCTACTATTGGGAAAAATCCACTCCTATAAGGTGCAACAGTAGTTACCAGTAAGCTGACATGCGTTCCTTATTTTATTTTATTTATTTTGGATTATTCTTTGACTTCTATGATTTTATAACTTTCTACAGACTGAAGTTTTATGACTTATCATTTTCTTTCACTCAATAGTGAAATGGTTCCATCAAGAAACTGCACAAATGCTCAGTGTGGCACTTCATACATATGTCCAGTGGACCACAAGTTACCAACCTGTTCTCTTGATTATTTCCCAAACTGCACTGGCAGTGGCAGGTATGAGAGAATGCTGATCAAGGCACAGTCTTCCAATATTGATAATATGAAATCCATCTACATCTTTTTCAGGGGCAATTCCATTGCACACTGTTCGCTCATCCACATGGTCTGAAAAGTAAATAAATTGGTCTATTTTTATTTTTATTTATTTTTTAAATTTTATTTATTTATTCACTACAGACACACACAGAGAGAGAGAGAGAGAGAGAGAGAGAGAGAGAGAGAGGCAGAGACACAGGCCGAGGGAGAAGGAGGCTCCATGCAGGGAGCCTGACGTGGGACTCGATCCCGGGTCTCCAGGATCAACCTCGGGTTGAAGGTGGCGCTAAACCGCTGGGCCATGGGGTCTGCCCTGGTCTATTTTAAAATGGTCATTTATTTGGAGGTCTTTACTTGAGATCTGAAGATCTACATTAAGAGTTAGCCTCAGGAAAGGCATAAAATCATTACTTTGCCCTTTTTCTTTCCACCAAAATAGTAAGCCAAAGTGCTTTGGCTGATGGCTATAATTAACCACCGTAATGGTATAAGGCAATTGCAGGGCTGGAGCGGCTGGCCTGGTGAAAGGGTAAAATGTCTGAAATAAAACAATACCAATGAGATCTGGAAACAGCCAGGTCCTAAGTCTTTGCCTCAATTAGTTTCCCTACTTAGTGGTTTAGATCTATGTTTTTCCTACACAAGACATTTCCATGAATAGTCTTCTATTAAATATTTCCACTATCACAGATTAAAAGGGCTTTGCTGGTGTTAAAATACTCATAACATCATTTGTGTGCCTAACTTCCTCCCAAATGACATAACAAAAAAGCAAATCACACACACACCTACACATACACACACGTATATTTCTCTGAAGCACTTGCACACTGATATCCAAAATATCATTTTGGTTTTCTATTTGGAAGGAAAAGAACACATAGATAGGAGGTGTCAGTCATCATCTCATTTTGAAAAGTAATAAGTAAAAGTAAAAAGGCTTTTATTACTCTATGCAGAGTGGCTTAGGTTACCCTAAACCCAACAATCAGCCCAACTGCCTAATATTACTGAAGTACAGTTTCTATTTGCTACATAAAAGTTTCTTTGTTCATTACACAATGGATGGCATTTAGATATAATTTTTTTTAAGATTTTATTTATTTATTCATGAGAGACACACAGAGAGAGGCAGAGACATAGACAGAGGGAGAAGCAGGCTCCTGAGGGGAGCCTGATGTGGGAATCGATCCCACAACCCCTGGATCATGACCTGAGCCAAAGGCAGACGCTCAATCACTGAGCCACTCAGGTGTCCCTAAATATAATTTTTAAGAACATTATCAAAGTCAAAGTTTAAATTGTTTTCAAGAGCTATGCCTTGTACCTTAGATCTTCTATATTCTAAATGGGATACTACTATTTTACTTTAAATCCAATTTTCCAGCATTAAACTACTGAAGTCTTTTATATGTATGAAAGTAGTAATTTGAATTATGTTCATATAGAAATGGGGTCTTTGGAATGTCTTTCCAATCAACAGTTGTTCACTTTCAATAACTGTATTTATTCTGTAATGTTCTAGCAGAGTAAGTATCCCTCTGTTTTCTCTGAAACCAGAAAATGATTATACAGGTTCTAGTAAAACTTCTTAAAAACCACATGTTCACTATTTGAGAATAAAAACAGTGGCTCATTTTTTAACCTGGATGATATTGATGATTCATTTCTTAGACATTAACCATTTATGTTGAAGCTCCATGCCATGGATATACGGCATATGGATATATGGCACAGTTAATCAAAAGCTTTGTAAATGAAAAGAAAAATAATTGTATTTAAGATCTCCATTATTGACCTAGGGCTTAAATTAGTTCATTTCTAAGCTTAAAATTGGCTAATTTTAATTTTAACATGGACTGATTGAAAGAACTCAGGTCTCTTGTAGGTTTGGAGAGTCATCCCCTTACCAATAAGTCTGAGCTACACTTAATGTCACCACCTATTGGTCCGTGCTCTTCCATTCACCAACAATAACACTGAAGTTATAGCAAATAATTTATCTCATGCAATGGCTAAAATTCTTAAGAAGCTCTATAAACATGTGAGAATATGGAGGCCAGCACTAGAGACCAGTCCTCTTAGGTATGCCTTCAAGTGAAACTCAGTTCATAACCAGGCCACCAATTCCAAGCAATTTTTTCTTAAGCCACTTCATTAATAGTTATTTAAAAGATGTGTGGACATACAAAGGTATAACACAGAGAGCATATGAAAACTGAGGTTATTTAGTCTAAAAGGAAAAGAACCTATATGAGTAGATTTTAAAAATTAAGATCATAAGAATCAAGGAAACTGATTCATACATTACATATACATATACACACATACATACATACATACATACATTTTTATAGAACTCCATGTTATCTCAGCAGTGAATTAAATCTCACTTGCAGTCTTTGCCAGGAAAGATACACTTTTTATTATGTAATATGCAGTGAATGTCAATAATACAAATTAGTATAATTTATATTTACATAGTGCTTCATAATGTTCATGTTACTATCATATCCACTTCCTTTTTGATATTCATAGTTACTGGAGACTAAAATGAAAAAGGAAAGCTCAGAGTTGGGAGAGTCAGCTAATTTCAAGCCACTATAAAGAGGAAGATCCAGAATTAAAATCTACATCTTTTTGCCCTAAAGTCAGTTTTTCCTTACGTATATAGAAGTCATAAGTATCCAATCATCTCAAATATCATTCAAAAATTAAAATTTGGGGGCTCCGAGTGGCTTAGTTGGTTAAAAATCTGCCTTTGGCTCAGGTTATGATCCCAGGGCCCTGGGATAGAGTCCCACATTGGGCTCCCTGCTCAGCAGGGAGTCTGCTGCTCGCCCTCCCCCCCCCCCCCCGCTTCTGCCCCCTCCCTCACTCATGCTCTCTCACTCTCTCTCAAATAAATAAAATCTTTAAAAAAAAGTTAAAATTGGGGGTGGCTGGGTGACTCTGTCGGTTGAGAGTCCAACTCTTGCTTTCAGCTCAGGTCATGATCTCAGGGTCATGAGATAGAGCCCCACTTTGGGCTCCATGCTCAGCAGGGAGTCTGTTCGAGATTCTCCCTCTCCCTTTGTTCCTCCCCCTGCTCACACACTATAAATCAATCAATCAATATATAAATAAATACTGTTTTTTTAAAAGTTAAAATTGGAGGAGCCCCCCACCTTCTAATCAAGACATTTGATAATCCTAACATATCCCAAGGAATGCACTGTTTCTTTTAGGCCTACAAATACAACACAATTTCTAGGTTAATACATGCCTAAACGTGCAGAAAAGCATTGAATACTTTATTATATGAGTAAGAGAAATAAATATATTTTCTGTTTTTGACTGACATCTAGTGGAAGTCCCCTGAAGTCCTTGGGTCCATGACTTGAAGAAACAATCCTAAGACTCAGTAGCATCAATTTTTTCACAATGGTTATAAAATATTTTTGACCCACAGAATACAGCGGCTAATAAATAACCAGTCAACATCCTACCAAATGAATGGGAAAATTGGCAGTATTCACTTTATGTTTCCCCTCTATTTATGATCATGAGAGGTCATTAAATCATGTCAAAAATAAAAAAAAAAGGCCTTCAAATTATAACCATAATGTTGCAAGAAAACAACCCAGAGAATGCCTTGAGACCATTCTATAGAACTACTACACTATGTGTATGATTGTGTGTGTGTGTGTGTGTGTGTGTGTATGTGTATGCTAAATTGCCTTTGGACAATGAACACACCCAAAAAAGAACAAATTATTGGTTTATTCTCTATCCAAGGATTTTTATGTTACTGTTTAAAAGTACCTCCTCTTGGGGTGCCTGGATGGCTCAGTGGGTTAAGCATCTGCCTGTGGCTCCGGTTTGGGAATGCAGCTCCAGGCTCCCCGCTCAGTGGGGAGTTGGCTTTTCCCTCTGCCCCTCACCTGGCTCATGCCTGCTCTATTGCTTTCTCTCTCTCAAATAAATAAATAAAATCTTTTAAAAAAAAAAAGTACCTTCTCCTACTGCCTCAATAGCTATAGGTTAAGCGCAAGTTCATTAGCATAATAAATAATACTGTCCTCAGCCTGGTTATATCTTTTTCCTAAAACCTCCTCTCCAAAGGCTCCATCTATCTCTTTCCCAACCACCATAGTCAAATTGGTCACATCAAGCAATGTCCCACTCTCTCATTTCCTTAGAATTAACTTTGTATTTCTGTACTATTGTTCATGAAATGCATGATGACTCTTCCATAACTAATTCCTTCTTCCCTGTCTTTCCCACCCTAGTCATTCCTCAACACGTTGATTGGCACCTGTTCCTTCATCACAAATTGAAATGATACATTTTCCTCCTCTGCTCTCCCACAGAACTGCTATAAAGAATACTTAGCACATTAGTTCAGTCAGTTGATAACATTAGTTATTTAACTCTCTCTCTCACTTATGAGTGTGAGCCTTCTAGGGCACAGATCTTTTTTTATTAAACTGATTTGCCCATAGTTTTCTCCATTTCAGTTGATGGCAATTCCATCCTCCTGTGCTGCTTGCCAAAAAAGTCTGGAGCCATTCTGACTCACACTCAATATCTATTCCATCTACTCAATCTTTGCTTAAATGCTACATTATTTTTAAGGACTATTCTGATCATGTTATTTAAAGTAGGTTCCATTTCTGATAATCGTGAAGTAGTTTAGGTTAGACCAAACTTCTCACAATTACTGTAAACACTGGAAAACATACATAAAAAACAATGACCTATAGTTGTAATGTACATTACTGATGTAGTGTACAGCAGGATGACTACAGTGAATAATATTGTATTGTGTATTTGAAAATTGTTAAGAGAATATATCTTAAAAGTTCTTATTATAAGAAAAAAATCTTGTATCTGTGTATGGTGATAGACGTTCACTAGACTTACCATGGTGAGTATTTCACAATATATCCAAATATTGAAGCGTTGTGTTATACACTGGAAACTAATACAATGTTATATGCCAATTATAAAATAATATAATAAAAGCTCAATAAAAATTTTCAAATAACTACTATTTTATACAAGCCATCTGTAAAACCCTGGAGAAT